CGACTGCGCCACCCAGGCGCCCCTTAAGTAACTTTTTATTAAAACATTATATACACTTAAAAGTGCAGTTATCACAAGTGTATAGGTTGAATTTTCACAAACTGAACACATCTTGCACACTCAGAATTCAAATCAAGAAGTAACATTACCAGTATCTAGTCCCCTCCTGCCACCCTGCCATGCCCCCTCCCCAGCCACCAACCCCACTATCTTTTTTTATCATACACTCTCCTCTGACTTTTCTTTCCATAGATTTTCTTTTAATATATATAAATAGAATTGTGTTCCTTTGTTCAATGTTATATTTATTAAACTCATTCATATTTTGATGAGTACTAATATCCATTGTGTAAATATTCATTCAGTTTTTGTTAGCATTTGAGTATCCTCCTTTTTTTACTATTAGGATTGGTTCTGCTATAGATACTCTAGTTCATGTCTTTGGTATACATACAGTTGCATTTCTATTGGGTATATAACTAGGAATAACTGGGTCATAGGATATGCATGTATTCATTTTTAGTGAATATCACAAAACATTCTCATCAGTGGTCTATGAGTTGTTCTTTCTCCACCTCTTTACCAAAACTTGGAATTTTTTAACTTTATTTTAGTCTTTTGGGAAGGAGTGCAGATTTCCTTTTCTATTCTGTTCTTTTTTTAATAACGTTATCAAGGTATAATTTAAATACAGTAAACGAACTAACTTTGTATATAGAAGTTTTGGCAAATGTATTTACATCTGTATATTCACCACCCCAATGAAAATTTTAAAAATATGTCCATCATCCAAATACCTTTTCTTAGGCACTCTCTACCCTCCTCCCATGCCACCACTGATGAAATTTCTGTCACTATAACTTAGTTTTCGCCTGCTCTCGAACTTTATATAAATGGTAGAAGTCCAGTATATTCTGTTTCCTTCATTCAACTTAAAGTTTTGGAGATTCATCCATGTTGTTGCATGTATCTGTAATTTCTTCCTTTCTTGTTGAGAAATACTGGGTTTCCAGTTTGTTTTTATGAAAAAAAAAAGTTATATCCAAGTCTTAATAGACCTGTATTTTTATTTACTTAGGGTTGAAATTGCTGGGTCATATATTAACTGAATGTTAGACTTTATCAGAAAATCACCAGGTGTTCCAGAATGGTCATATTTTACATTTCTGCCAGTAATATGTGAGAATTCCTGTTGTTCCATACCCTATCCAACACTTGGTACACTTAATCTTTTTAATTTTGGCTATTCTGGTAGGTGTGGCTTATTTTACATTTCTCAGGGGCTTATTGGCCACTTTCATATCTTTGGGATGCATTTTCAGATTTTTGCCTTATAAATTGGGCACTTTATTCTCTTAATATAGTACTGTTAGAGTTTTATATTCTGGAAGTAAGACCTTTGTTAGATATAGATGTTTTGTGAATATTTTCTTCCACTCTGTAGTTTAGCTTTTCATTTTCTTAACATTATCTTTTGAGGAGCAGAAGTTCTGCATTTTGATAAAATGTATTGCATCAGTTTTTTGTTGTTATTTGATTTAGGGCTTTTTGTGTCTTTGACTAAGGTTACAAAAATTTTGTTTTTGTTTTGATCTAGATGTTTTATAAGTTTAGCTTTTACGATTGGGTTTATGATTCAAATTTATTTTTATATATAGGGTAAGATAGAGCCCAAGGTTTTTGTTCCCCCCCCACCACCCTTTTTTTTTTCCTTACCAGGTATCTATTTGTTCCAGCACAATTTGTTGAAAAGATTGTCCTCTCCTCATTTTATTACTTGGCACTTTTGCTGGAAATCACTTGACCATATATGTGTCAGTCTAATTCTGGACTCCTGTTGAGTTCCATTTGATCTACATGTATATATCCTTAAGCCCGTATCATACTGACTTGATAATGATAGCTTTTGTAAATATTGAAATCAGATAGTATAATTTCTTTGGCTTTGTTCTTTTTATACAAAATTATTTTTTCTAATTTAAATTTTTCCATGTTTGTATAAATCTTAGATTAGTTTATCAAAAATGCCTACTAGAATTTTTTAGGTATTGTTTTGGGTTTGTAGATGAATTGGATTGACAATTTACGATATTGAGTCTCCCAATCATGAACCATGTAGTATCTTTTAGATCTTCCTTAGTTTCTCTTAGCAATTTTTTATAGTCTTCAGTGTATAGATCATGCCTATCTGTGTTTTGTTAATTTTATCCCTAAATATATGTCATATTTCAGATCATAGGACTTTTCTATAGGATTTTTCTCTTTTATCCTGTGAGTGTTAGATCACCCTTGCATTCCAGGAGAAAGAAACCTCACTTGGTCATTGTTTATTATCTTTATTTAATAAATTGCTGGGCATTACCATTATTGCTGAAAGTTTTCTTCAAAAAGTTCTTTTTCATCCTGGTCCCTTCTCCATATCAATGTCAACCACTGTGGTGATTTTTCTTTTTTGACCACAGATTAGTTTTGCCCATTCTAGAAGTTTATGTGAGAACAAAACATAATATACTTTTTTCTGTTTTCATTCAGCGTATTTTTTCTTTCATTCAGCATATTTTTCAGATTTATCTGGGTTGTGTGAACCAATAGTTTATTCCCTTTTATTACTCGGTAGTATTCCAAGGTATGAATATACCACAGTTTGTATTTATTCCTGTTGATGGACACCTGGACTATTTCCAGTTTTTGGCTATTGTGAATAAAGCTGCTGTTTGAACATTCTTGTGTAGGCCTTTTAATAGACATATATTTTAATTTCTTTTGTATAAATACCAGGGAGAATTGCTGGATTATACAGAAGATACATGTTTACTTATTACAAAATTGCCAGTCCTTTCCCCACAGCACTGTGGTACCATTTTATCCTCCCAGCAACAATGTATGAGAGTATTGGTTATTTCATATTCTTGCCAGCACTGGTATTGTCAACTAATTTGACCCATTCTGGTAGGTGTGTAGCAGCCCGTCATTGAGGTTTTGTGTTTCCCTGGTGAATACTGAGTACTTTTTATGTGTTTATTCATCATTAGCATACTTTCTTTGTGAAGTGTACATTCAAATCCTTTTTGCTTTTTGAAATTCCCTTGACTTTTATTATTTGTGTTTTTAAGTTTTGAGTTCCAGGAGTTCTTTTTATGGTCTGGATACAAGTCATTTGTCACATATATGTTTTGCAAATGTTTTCTGTTTTCTTAATATCTTCTGATGAGAAGTTTTAATTTTCATTAAGTGTAATTCATCATTTCTGTATTTGATGTTTATTCCTATATTAGTCCTAAGAAACCTTTGCCTACCACCAAGTTATAGTCGTCTGTTTTCTTCTAGGATACTTAGCTTTTACATTAGATATATGATCCATCTTGAATTAATTTGGGGATATGGTGTGAGATAAAGGTAAAGATTTCTTTTATAAACCATTTGTTTATTATAGATAATTACTTTCACCACTGAATTGCTTTGGTAATTATTGAAAGTAGAAGGACTGTATATATGAGGTTCTATATGTAAGCTCTTTGTTCTTTTCCATTGATCTGTTAATCCTTATGTCAGTACCACTCTGTCTTGATTCCTGTGACTTGTTTTATCTTCTTCCAGCTTTGTATTTCTTTAAGAATACTTTGACAAATCTAATTTTTTTTTGTATTCTCATATAAATTTTAAAATCAATTTGTCAATTTCTACGTTAAAAAAACTGCGGGATTATTCAATTTTTTAAATAGAGCTAGGTCTATATATTTTTTTATTTCTATTTTTGTTATCTTTGATAAATTGTATTTTCAAGATATTTGTCCATTTTTTGTAAGTTGTCAAATTTATTTGCACAAAGTTATTATAATCTTTATTATCTTTTTAATTCCAGTAGTATCTTGTATTATCTATTGCTTTGTAACAAATTGTCCCTAAGTAATGACTTAAAACAACCAGTGTTTATTGTCTCATAGTTCCTTTGGGTCCTATTGTCTCATATCCTCTGGATATGGCTTCACAGAGTTATTGCTTATGGGTGCCCCTGGCTCAAGTCTCACATTGCTGCAATCAGAGTTCAACGAGGACTGTAATCATTTCAGAGCCTGACTTGGGAAAGGATCCTTGTCCAGGTTCACTCATATAGAGAACTGGATGGATAGTTTTCTTCCTTACTTTCCTCATATTAAAGATGTTGTTCTACTGTCTTTTGGCTATCCTTGTTTCTAATAATCTAAGTGTTTTCATACTGTGTTGTATTTCTGTGGATGCTTTCAAGATTTTCTTTTGATCTTTGGTTTTCAGCAGTTTGCTCATGTGCCTAAGTATGGTTTTCTTTAGATTGATCTTTGAGGTTTGCTAAAATTCTTCAATCTTTAAATCTGTATCTTCTACCAGATTTGGGGAATGCTTGGGCATTGTTTCTTTGAATATTTTTGTCAGCCATATTTCTCACCTCTTCTTCTGGGACTCCCAGTTATATTTATGGTAGACCTTTTGATATTATCTAAGTCACCATGGTGGAAATTTTTTCAGTCTTCCCTCTGTTTAGATTCAAAATTTTGTATTGCTTTATCTTCAGTTTTACTGACTCTTTTCTAATCGGCTGTTACCTTCATCGGTGAATTTTGTTTTTTAAATATTGAATTAAAAGTTCTTGAATTTCTGTTTTATTCTTTTTCATAGTTTTTCTCTGGGCTTATTCTTTATTTTTCTCTGGGCTTATTCTTTAATTTATTCTGCACATTTTTTTATTGTTGCCTTAGGCATAGTTATAATACTTGTTTTTAATATCATTGTTAATTTCAACATCTGGGTTATCTTCAGTGTTGGTCTCCATTGTTTTTTTTTTTTTTAAATCACATCATTTTGATTAGTTCACAACTGACAGCAAGAACCCAGCATCGCCTTAAAAACTAATTACATAATATTGTAAAATTTTTGGTGTACATTTTCCCCATTCTCCCATTGTGATTTCTAGCACTGACCTTTTAAAAAATGGATGTCTTAACATGATCTTTTGTCTTTTGCAGGGCATCTTCTCTACATTCAGTTTCATCTAAGTCATTCCGGGATTTCTTAGTAGAAGAAAAAAAATCTATTACTGGTCACAGTTCAGGAGATCATGTCAAAAAAGTTTGTTTTAAAGGAATAGAAAATTCCCAGTCTCCAAAAGTTGAAAGGTAATAAGTTAAACTTATACATTTTCTACCTTAAAAAATTCTATGGTAGTTTCACATTCTGAAATCTTTAAAAATTTATCAGGCGGATTTTTACACATTCTTTTACACTGAAAATTAACATGTCTTTTTTTTGAGGCTTTATTTTGGTAGAATTGTCTTATAGTAAGCTTGTATATATTTAAAGTATTTAATTTGATGTTTTGGCATATGTACCTGTGAAACCATCACCAGCTACACTCAAAACAGTGAATATAACCATCATTCTTAGAAGTTTCCTCATGCCCCTTTGTAATTTCTTCCTCCCTACCCCATTTTGCTCTCTAGGCAGCTACTAACCTGCTTGTGTCAGTATAGACTACCTCGTATATTCTAGTTTTATACCTGTAGGACCATTCAGTATGTAGTTTTTGATTCATCCATGTTGCTGTGTGTATCAATAGTTCATTCCATTTTATTGCTGAGTAGTAGTTCATTATGTAGATATAAAACAGATGATGGACCTTTGGGTGTTTCCAGTTTTTTCTCTAGCTATTTTTGATACAAGTTTTTAAAGTCCATTGTATTTTATTTTTGTATATACATCTTATTTAATGTCTTAATATGGAATTTATTGTCA